GTGCCACCTGACAAAGTAGTACAATTAATAACAGCTGATTTGCCAAAGCTTATTGGAAACTTTCCTGTTTCTGTGACACTTGTGTTACGGCTTCTGTTACTCGTTGCTAGAAGTGAAGATACACAGGATGCATTAAACAGGTATTTCAGATCTTAAATTTTTTTCTTCAGTAAATATCAGGCACTGAATCTCAAAAATACATAAATATATCAAAATAACTTTAACTATTTATCACCCAAAAATATTTTAACCTTGATTTTTAAAGATTCCATGATAGTTAAAGGTTTAAAAATTGGAGGTTTCTTTTGTTCAGCTTGCATTGTGTATCACTAAATATAGTTTTATGAAACACTATCATTAATTTTGTTGTAAGGTAAGACAGATCAGGTATTGAACTACGATTTTGTGTAGTTTAGGTATTGTTACGTCTCCGTTTGTTAATTAACTTTCCGTAACTTCGTTCCGACGAAACTTTAACGACACAAGTCTTTACTTAATAAAACTGGTTTATTCTTTCCGAATATAACTCTGCGATACACTTAATCTCAATACTCGCGCTAAAACAACACTGTAAGGAACGAACGTTAACTTCAACAATACCGTGTGACTGCAGTTCAATTACTCACTATCTACACCTTACCGCGTCACGTTGTCCCCTCCTATATATATATATCCGCCCACCCTATATCTAGTAAGAACTTGAACATTCGACAAAGTACATGATAGTTCTAGAAACGTTGCGTCATAGTAGTCACGTGACTCGCTGACGCAACAGTATTTAACTACTGTATTATGTACGTTGTTAGGCAGTGATGGTACGTGTTCTTTAGGTTATTAACTATTGTATTATGTACGTTGTTAGACAGTGACAGTACATGTTGTTTAGGTATTTAACTACCGTATTAAGTACGTTGTTAGACAGTGACAGTACATATTGTTTAGGTATTTAACTACTGTATTATGAACATTGTTAGACAGTGACAGTACATGTTGTTTAGGTATTTAACTACTGTATTATGTACATTGTTAGACAGTGACGGTAAGTGTTCATTGGGTATTTAACTACTGTATTAAGTATGTTGTTAAACAGTGACAGTATGTGTTGTTTAGGTATTTAACTACTGTATTAAGTATGTTGTTAAACAGTGACAGTATGTGTTGTTTAGGTATTTAAATTATCTGGTGAAAATAATTCAGCATTCAGTCCACATGATGAAAATAAATTACTTCATTTCATTCTTTAACTTTTCTACAAATATGAACCTAAATTGTTGAAGTAATATATAAACCTCTCTATGAATACTACGATTACTAGAAAAATCAATTTTTTTTGTACAGAGTAATGTTATCATGATAGGTACCAGATCCAAATACTTAGCAGAAGAACAGTGATTGATTGAACTCATTGCAATCTTCATGTATTTACAATCTAGCTTTGATTGTACAAGAGAAAAAGCTTGAACTTTCTCAGTGTTCTTAACCCATCTCAATATCATTTACTCTCTAGTTAAAATACAAATGACAACATTAAATGTTTACCTTCCATTGCCACTTTCTTTGTGCATTATGTAGTACTGGAGTCAAAGCAACCATCAGGGTCACGTGAAGTTAACTATTAGCTTATTCAATGTAAACAAACAGCTGATAGCATGAACAGTGAGCTTCATAACAGACTTGATCAGGGCTCTAATAAGCCCTTGCAAAACACATTTTATGGGAGCTTATTACCAGAAGTGCAGTGGTGCTTGTGAAACGTGAAGTCCTGATTGGTGCATTTAGTTGTGTATCTGCAACATTAATGGATTCTAATTCCAGTAACAACTGGAGAATTTCCTTTAAGAATGTACACTCCCATGGTACCTTCCTCATTATAGTCTGGTGGTTTTCGATTGGCTGATATTGATCTAAGTTCTTGAACTGATGTCTTTGCTGGATTAGCTCAGGAAAGTCCTTTAGTAACAGGTAATACAGCAGCAGTGTTGACAGGTGTTGGCCAAACAAGTCCTACTAATCCATATTTTGGTGTTTTAAGGAACTTTTGAGCCAATACAGAAAGAGTAGTAGCTTGTTTAATATTTGCATTTAATAATTCCTTTTCCACATTTCTTATCCCATCACTGATATCAATCTTGTCGTTAGTTAAGTACTTCTTGAATGGTATTGGTATAATCTGTCGTTTTATCAATATTTTTGTAAATCAGATTGATTTTTATTCTCAATTCTTCTTAAATAGTATTTCTCTTTCTTTAATGTCCTTTCTAAATTTCTTTACGATCTTTTATTTTTCTGTCTGTTTCTCCTAATTTTCTGTCATTTTCTTCCTGGTTTTCTTTTAAGTTTCATTCCTTTGAATTTCTTTCTCTTTTCATAACAAATTTATAATCTCAGGTAACTCTTGAACCTTACTGTTTGCCTTTTAGTTATCATCTTCAACAGATGAGATTCTACTTCAAACTATTCTATTTTCACCAAAATAAATCCCACTTCTGACACCAAATCTTGTAGTTCTTTCTTTGCAGGTTCTTATAAGTTGTCAAATGAAAATGATTCAGTGTCCTGTCCACTTAATGAAACAAATTTATTTTATTTCCTCCTTTAGATATTTCTACAACTTTAAAACCACTTAAACTGTTGTGATTTTTAGGTTTACATTTACAATGATGCCATTTCTCTCCTAACAACTAAGGTATAATCAATCCACTTACTTGTAAAAGATAACTCTTCTTTTATCTCAACTAATTTAACTTCATTTTGTAATGTACCCTTATTCTAGAGGTTTGTAGGATTAATGTGATCTTAACATCATCATTACATACTTGAGTAAGGAAGCTAATATTATAATAATAATAACTAAATATGTATGCAAACAATGCTTTATAAGCATAATTAAGTAATTTACTTATTGGAACATACTACATGTTTCAACAGAATATTAGCCTATCTTTTTAAGGCCAGTGTTCTGATGAAAAATGTAGTAAGTTCCTATAAGTAAGTTACTTCTTTATACATATAAAGCATTGTTTGGGTACTTATTACTTACTGTCATCATTTCATCAGTGAGACACAGCTCTCTCTGGCTAACAAATAGATTACATAAAATAAAGCTTACAACAGTACATTATAAAAATCTGTTTCTTTGCTAATGAATTAAAACTAACTTATTCCTCTAAAGTTTTTAACAAGGCTCAAATATACAATAATTAGTATTTGTTACATCAAAAAATAATTTTATCATTTTGACTAGATCTAATTGCATCATTGTTCTGTAAAGATGAATGTGTGGTGATCATTGTACTGTAAAGATGGATGTGTGGTGATCATTGTACTGTAAAGATGGATGTGTGGTGATCATTGTTCTGTAAAGATGGATGTGTGGTGATCATTGTTCTTTAAAGATAGATGTGCGGTGATCATTGTTCTTTAAAGATGATTTTGTGGTGATCATTGTTCTGTAAAGATGGATGTGTATAGATCATTGTTCTGTAACGATGATTGTGCGGTGATCATTGTTCTGTAAAGATGATTGTGTGGTGATCATTGTTCTGTAAAGATGGGTGCGTGGTGAGTATTTTTGCATAAAGACAATTGTGTAACAATCATTATTCTATAAATGTAATAGTGGAGTGGTTATTGTTCCATTAAGATGATAGTGCAGGAATCATTGTTCTGTAATGATGACAGTGTAGTGAGTTATAACATTTTCACTAGATCTAACACTATAGCATTTCTAAATAAAATATTTAAAAGCTCTGTTAGTGACATTTTGTCTCTGATCTTATGAGAGCCAGTATTCCTCAGAGCTGTAGTTCTCAACTGATCATGGTACAACATTGTTACTGAAATGAGTTAATATTGTTGCGTCAGCGAGGTCACGTGACTAGTGTCACGCCACGTTTCTAGAACTATCCTGTTCCTTCGTGAATGCCCTAGCATTTACTAGATATATGTTAGTCTGGTATATATATAAGACGCTCACAACGTGACGGGACAATGTGTGTAGGTAGTGAGTAATTGAACTGCAGTCAGAAAGTATTGTTGATATTAACGTTCGTTGTTAAAACGTTTGTTATACAGCGACTGTTGAAAATAAGTGTATCGGTAAAGTTATATTCAGAAAGAATAAACCAGTTTTATTAAGTAAGGACTTGTGTCGCTAAAGTTTCGTCAAAAATCAATTAACGACTGGAGGCTAAAAACATGTTGTTTTATTATAATATTTGTGTTATTTTTTGACATACTGTTTTAACTATTTGTCTTTGCTATTACTATATACAGAGAAGGGTACTTTTGTCATTACAGAGAAGAGTATTGCTGCTGCTATTACTGTGTACAGAGAAGGATACTGCTGCTGTCATTACTATGTACAGAGAAGAGTATTGCTGCTGCTATTACTGTGTACAGAGAAGGATACTGCTGCTGTCATTAATATATACAGAGAAGAGTATTGCTGCTGCTATTACTGTATACAGAGAAGGGTACTTTTGTCATTACTATGTACAGAGAAGAGTATTGCTGCTGCTATTACTGTATACAGAGAAGGGTACTTTTGTCATTACTATGTACAGAGAAGAGTATTGCTGCTGTTATTACTGTATACAGAGAAGGTTACTGCTGCTGTCATTACTGTATACGGAGATAAGTACTGCTGCTGTCATTACTGTATACGGAGAAGAGTACTGCTGCTGTCATTACTGTATACAGAGAAGAGCATTGCTGCTGTCATTACTGTATACAGAGAAGAGTACTGCTGCTGTCATTACTGTATACAGAGAAGGTTACTGCTGCTGTCATTACTGTATACAGAGAAGAGTACTGCTGCTGTCATTACTGTATACAGAGAAGGGTACTACTGCTGTCATTATTGTATACAGAGAAGGGTACTGCTGCTGTCATTACTGTATACAGAGAAGAGTACTGCTACTTTTATTACTGTATACAGAGAAGGTTACTGCTGCTGCTATTTCTGTATACAGAGAAGGTTACTGCTGCTGCTATTACTGTATACAGAGAAGAGTACTGCTGCTGTAACTACTGTGTACAGAGAAGGGTACTGTTGTTATTACTGTACATAGAGAAGGGTACTGTTGTTATTACTGTGTACAGAGAAGGATAGTGCTGGTATTATTCTATTGAGAAGGATACTGTTGTTATTGTATGAAGAAGGTATAACTATTATTATTATTACATGACAGATTGTCATGTTTGATATTTTATCCTGTTGATGATGTAATATCTAAAATTGATATACTCTATTAAATCATTAAATCAGTTATATATACATGAGCCTTAATTAGTATAACATAAAATAAATCAAAATTATTATTTCCAGTTATTACTATTTTAAATTATTCCAAGTGTCCATTATTATCATTATGGCTTTTTTTTTATTATTCCTATGCATAGTTTCTTCTAATAAGAATATTTTCTAGGATTGGGTGTTATTTTCATCTCTTTAACCTCTTATATCAGAATCAGAGTCTACATACAGATAGGACTTAAATTTGTAAAATTGATTTCACTTCGTGTTTAAGGTTTTTTTTCTTAATTGTTTGAAACTGTAAACTTATATTGAAACTAACAGCACTAACATAAGCTAGTTATTACATAATTATAGTCCTTATTGTTTGTAATTAACATGTTCTAATTAATAGTGTTTTTGCAGAGCTCACAACCTGCTGAAGCATCCACTCATTTGTCAGAACCAACCACAGCTGAACAAACAGCTTAAACAACATTTCATGTATTCTGTACAGTTTTTGTTAAGGGAGGTGAGTAGGAATCTTTACATATATAAACAAACAGTTAAACAACATTATGTTTTCTGTACAGTTATTGTTAAGAGAGGTGAGTAGGAATCTTTACATATATAAACAAACAGTTAAACAACATTATGTTTTCTGTACAGTTCTTGTTAAGTGAGGTGAGTAGGAAATCTTTACTTTATAAACCCACAGTTAAACAACATCACCTCACTTAACAAGAACTGTACAGAATACATAAGTAAGGAATCTTTACGTATATAAACAAACAGTTAAACAACATTATGTATTCTGTACAGTTCTTGTTAAGTGAGGTGAGCAGAAATCTTTACTTATATAAACCCACAGTTAAACAACATTTCTTGTTTTCTATACAGTTTTTGTTAAGGGAGGTTAGCAGGAATCTATAATTATATAAACACACAGTTAAATAACATTATGTTTTCTGTACAGTTCTTGTTAAGTGAGGTGAGTAGAGGAATCTTTACTTATATAAACAAACAGTTAAATAACAGTTCATGTTTTCTGTACAGTTCTTGTTAAGTGAGGTGAGTAGGAATCTTTACGTATATAAACAAACAGTTAAACAACATTATGTTTTCTGTACAGTTCTTGTTAAGTGAGGTGAGTAGGAATCTTTACATATATAAACAAACAGTTAAACAACATTATGTTTTCTGTACAGTTCTTGTTAAGTGAGGTGAGTAGGAATCTTTACATATATAAACAAACAGTTAAACAACATTATGTTTTCTGTACAGTTCTTGTTAAGTGAGGTGAGTAGGAATCTTTACATATATAAACAAACAGTTAAACAACATTATGTTTTCTGTACAGTTCTTGTTAAGTGAGGTGAGT